TAAAGAAAGTAAATTTTTTTGTTTTTGTTTCTGTTTTTCACTCAAAGAGACAGAGAAAATCTAGCACAAGAAGAAAGAAGAATGTCATGTCCATCATCAAACAGCATCAGGTACAATGGGAGCCACTGCACATGCGCAGTTGGGTATTTGCTAAACCAGACCACCGACACCTGCGTCCTCTTTACAGCGGATTCCACCATATCCACCGACTCCGGCATCAGCACCGATGCCCTCAGCTTCTTCCCGGAGACCATCTTCTCCTTTGACTCCATTAAGAAGTTCACGCAATCCCAAGCCGTCTTCTTGGAAGCCACGCTTGTGTTTCTGCTGTCTTGGCTTGTCTTTTGCTTCTTTCTAAGGTTTATGAAACTTGGCAACGATGGCAGGAGCATTTGGTTCAGGCTTAGATGGTGGATTAGCAGATTGGATGTTTGCTTTTCCACTAGGCATTGGCTGGTTAGTTTGTTTGTCAATTTTATTTCCTGCCCACTTTGTTGTTAGATTGTATGTGCTACTGGGTTTCGTGAATTATTTCTTAGCTTATTTGCATTACTTTTCATCATCATTTATATTAGTGTCATTGAATCTTAATGCAATTATGTGAACCATCCTCAAGTGGCCATCTGTCAATAATTTATTCTAATTATGGGGTGGTTCTTGTGGGTTTGGGGCAATATATATATATATGCTTTCGAGAATTCGATTGAGTGCTCAAAATGTCCTAGGAACCTAGTAATCATGGAATAGGAAAATTATGATTAATTCACCAGACGTAATATGTACTGAAAATGTTGCTGCTTGGAACTTAAAAGGCAGTATAAAAATTTTGGTAGGAGGTTTGGCTTCCGCTCTGTGAATCTTAACTTACCAATTGTAGTGGTGCTATCTTTGATAAACTCTCTTTTGTAATTTTGTTAGTAGATAACTGATTGTTGCGAATCTTTTCTATGGCTACATATTGAAGCCACTTTGCTACTACATTCATTAGATTATCCTTTTGGCAGCTTTATCAGTAGCTTTCTTATCCATCCTGATATTAAATTATGACAATGGATTTTAACTAGCTTCGTTTGTGGCATAGGATGATCAAAAGGTAGTTAAGAAACGGAAGACAGAACTTGGTGGAACCTTCTCAATAGCAAGTTGGATTCTCTTCATTGGTTTGTTTGCTGCGTGAGTATTGAACCGTCATTTTTTCATGCTGATTTTATTAGCTGTGCTGGTCTTTTTCTGGTTTCTATTAGTCATATTAGCTTATATTTACTTGGCTTTTCAGTTTTTTTACAGGTTGCTCTACCAAATCATAACAAAGAGAACTATTGAGGTACATAATGTCCGCGCAACAAATGCACCTGACTTGGCCTCCTTCAACAATGATATGGAATTTAACATAACCACTATTTCTAGTATGAGCTGTTCAAACTTACGTGATCTTGCCACTTTAGTTACTGGAAATCCTGGATTCATTGACTTCAGAGTGGCTCCTCTGTCAAAGTTTGGGAACTACTCATGTCAAAATACGAGTAGAGGACCAATGATAACTCTGAGGTGCAACAAGTGTCAACCAATTCAAGACAATTTGTACATCTCGTGGCAATTCATTGATCTTCCTAATAATCCTGCTGCTGCTGTTGGATTTCAGTTCAATCTGAGTACAAGGAGTCATGCTAATAAAAAACATGTTAGTTTTGTTAGTGGAACCCTAAAGAATGGAAGCACTTTTGATGATAGACCAGTTACATTCAGAGGGAATATGACAAACATTTTAAAATTCAGTTTATTCCCACGGATATACCGTAATCTGCATGGTCTAAAGCTCATCCAACCTCTGTTTCATGACTTTGTTCCTGGTTCATTTTTCCATGACACAAGTCAGCTCCAAACATCCCTTGAAAGTTCTAACGACGGAATACTCAACACTACATTGTATGTCAACTTTCTCTCTGCCTACATTGTGGAGATAGATAACCGGAACATTATGGGTCCTGGTAAGTATATGTTGTGCCCTAAGTATATGAGATCCATCCTTCCACTTATGTTCTATGTTTATCTTAAGTAAATAAGATCAAATCTATTGCACCGGGATCACTCAACTGAGTTAGACTGAACTGGCCAGAGTCCAAACCCACACCACCATCTCAGTTGAAGTATTTCACTTTTCCAATTAAGTTCTATTAATATACATATATACATATATATTTATAATATTGTTGTCTACCTTAACATGTAGTGAGCTTCCTTGCGGATCTTGGTGGCCTGTATTGCATCTGTATTGGCTTTTTTTTTTACCTTCTGGTGCAAGTACGATACTCAATCCTTAAAGTTTTGTTCTTTCTTCATCACTGTTTTCATGTCTCTAATTTTTGTTTTTCTCTTTTGTAGTGTGAGTTTAGGATAAAAAAACTCCGCAATGAAGATAGTGTATTGCGCAAGATCAGAAATCGGCGAAAAGCGCAAGAACACTGGGATAAAGTAATTTCTTTCGTATTTTTCATTTCATTTTACTTCATATTGGTCTGACTTCATACAATAAAACTCACTGGTACATTTGCTTTGAACTAGTTGAGGAAATATGTGATGTACACATGGGGCTGCAAGGCATTGAATGAGTGCGAAAAAAAGGGATCTGGTTGCATTGGTTTCAATATACAATCCGTTCATCGAAATGGATCATCACACAAGCAAAGGCAACAAGAAATGGATACTATTAGTTTCAATAGGAAGCTCAGCTTACCTAACAAGAAGGTAATATTTCATGCTTCTGTCTGTTAGATCCCTGAAAACCTGGTTTCAAGGTTCTGATTCATAATGTTTTAGTACTTGGTTCTCCAAAAATTTAACTTGGTTTTCTTAATTTTCAATTTATGTTAATCATGCAGACTACAGTTCAAGAGTGCTCCCACACTGTTGGGGGGGTGAGATCATTTACACCTGGAACTTCACTGAACCCTGTAGAAAGTTCATCACATTCAGCAGTTGAACCTGTGAGTCATTCTTCTTGTTTCTTTCTCAAAAACATGGGGATAACAGGTCTAGTTTGTCTTTAATGACAACCCTTCCAACTTGTTATTGGTTTCCCTAACCACTTACACTGAATTTGGGCCAATAAATCAGCTAAATTTCAATCGTTGATTGTCACAGATTATCTGCCAGTCAAATCACTATTTGAGAATTCCAACTCATCCATACATTTTTTTTCTTCATAGTTTTTAAAATTGTGTAGGCTATTTATATTACATGGCTTCACACCAAAATTAGTGTCAATAACGATTTGATTGTCCTTTCAAGAATAAGTGATGAAAGAACTCAGGATTATGTGACTTGTCTAATCCATCTGGATATGACATATGCTTCTGTCTTTTTTGATTGGTAAATATTTAAACAGGACATGTTAACTTTTGTATCTCTTTCATCCTTATGTCCTCCAGCCTCTGCAAATTGAATTGCTTGGCTCTACAAAGAATGGAAAACACAAATGTGTTTGTTTGTGCAAAGAAGATTCCACCCTGCCTAAAGCTTTAACTCTGACAAATGATGATATTATTCCTCCACCAGCTTCACTAGGTAAGAACTAAACTCATAAAGTTTAGGGCCACCATATTTTTTTCTTTCCATCAAGTTCCCTTCTTTTTTTCTTCTTCTTATTTCTCAAGTGAAATAGAAGTGGGTGAATGTGCTTTTGCTTTCTACGTTTTTGTATCTTCCGTGAAATGATTGAAATGTGAATGTCTTTGTAGTAAATTTGTAGATCTAATTAACGTGATGATGGATTAAGTTACAACCTTATGTACATTATATAATCGGTGGATGGTTTAGAGTTTATTAAGCATTAACTGATTAAATGGTTAAATCAGAAGGGAAGGGCTTATGAGTTGAAGGTCACGTGTTATGAGCACAAGTTCTGCAAATTGTGTTGTTATGAAGATCTCATTTTTCTTCTCTCCCAAAATGTTGCTAATTAATTGAAGCCTGATTTGATTCAACTTAGGCCAGCACAAAACTTTTCGTGGATTTATGTTTACTAGATAGATGTTTGGATACTGTGTAGTAGTCTTCATGCATGAAAGACAGCATGGTGGTATATTCCCTCGTCAAGTCTTCTGTTGACAGTTTCGGCATTATAGGAGACTTGATATCATGACAAGCAGTCACCGAATTTCAATTTAAAACCATGATAGCTGGTATTATATGTTTTCTTAACTTATGTTCACTGGGACTTGCATGAAACTATATCGACTAGAAACAGATATGAAGTGGACTTGATGATATCCTTGTGTAGTTGTTCAGAATCTTGGGTTGGTGATTTTGTTTATGGATTTCGCCACTTCTTTTTCAGCTTTTCTTATATTACTGTCCTACTTCACTGCAGAATTGAAGGACGCTTCTGAAATGGATATGTCTGATGTTCAGAAGAATCTTAGAAGCTTGTACGAGTACAATGTTATGCTTAGGGAAAAGTTAATAGCTACTCAGTCTTTGTTCCATTCTTTACCTACAAATTCCTCATCCTCAGTAATAGAAGGCGAAACGTAGTATTGAATAGCATATGAACCACACCTTACCACATATCCATTTATGTAAATTTATTACTTTTATTTGTTATCCTAGTAAAATAGTTCAAGGGTATTGTTGGGTAGTTCACAGTTTTGAAACTTGGTTGTCGTCTAATGTTGCAGGCATGTTAATGCAAAGTGATAAGCTTTCAATCATGCATTATTTGTCTTTACTACACACACACAAAGAAAAAAATTATTCTGACCTACTTTAGGAACGTTTTTACGATCTTCATGCTGAAAAAAGGTGGAAATGTGAGGAAACATAAAATCTTATTTTGCTTTCTGTGGGTCAAGTGAGAACAAGAAAAATAATATAAAATATATATAAACCAAGTAGAGAAAAAAGAGAGAAAACGTTCAAAATTATTCATAATACAAATTATTATGTAACATTACTTATAATTTGAAGAAAAGAAAAACAATAATCTGTGAGTGAGATTATTGCTTGCACCACCCATTACAACAATTAACTATCAAACCAAAAAGATACTTCTTGACTACATCGCATGTTAAGCTGCATACAAAAGCCTCTCTTTCCCAAAGAAATAAAATTATCCAGTTTGGCTGACACTCCCATCTCCCTGAATATTTCCGCAACATGAACAATGGCGTTGTCCTACATGGAATTAGCTGTGCAAGTATCTGCGACCTATATATATATGATTTGCCCATACATACGAGCGAGCAGCCAACAATAAACTACCAAGAGGTTCCCTCCCTTCACAACTGCGTCTCCCAACATGTCATCAGAACAGTCTACACGCCCATAAACCATTCATTTGACTGAAGACCCCAGATGATCCGGTTGATGTGTACCCAAGTACATGAGAAGTGAAATGGCATACAAATATGCTTTTCTAAAAGCAACCCTTACTCCGTGTCAACATGCTTTCTCTCGCTACATTTTGAAAGAACATCATTCCTCCCTGAGCGCATTCCCAAGGCATGAGCAAACATCCTCTTTGCTGCTCCCAAATGTTCCCTTTTGTAGTATTCCTCGTCTACACCATGTCCACTTCTTCCATTCTGAGATATACTGTTGCCACCACCCGAAATCTTGTCACCTTGTTTTTTGGGTGTCTTCCTTTCACTTAAAATTAAAGGTGGCGCATTGTTACTGCGGCTGTTCATTTTCACTTCACCACACGAGTTCATATTTCCTTCCTTCTGAAAAGCTTCCACAGTCAAACTGGCCTCATCTTCAACCTTGTCTTGCACATTCAATTCACTAGCGTGCCCTCCCAAAACTTTGCAATCTTCATGAAGGGAATCTTGACTGGATGGATTGATTCTTTGGCCTAGGGCATGTGCTATCATCCGGCGGGCAACAACAGGGACACTACGTGGCTTTTGCTTGACAGATTCCTTTGCCTCTCCCAAGTCCCTTGAAAATATTCGCTCACGAGCAGCCAAATAAGCAGCTTCTCTCTCCTCAAGTGAGTGTTGAAACAAAGGAGGTTTTTTCCTTACCACTAAAAATATAAGAAGGTTTGTCTCAACATATCATCATTAACAGGGATAGGAAATAAGAACAGAAATACATCGCGCAAGTGATAAAAGGAGGGGAAATCATTACCTGGGGGAGCTTCTGTCCGCTTTAATAATAGGTGTGAAGTAGTTGGAGAATCAGGCTCATCATACTGCCACAAGATATCACCAACAAGGATGGAAGGTCTGCAACCCAAACACACTGATTACCAAAAGAAAAAACAGGGGACACTGGACCAAATTAACTCTATTAACCTAGCTAAACCACTATCATAAGCCCAATCACCCTTATTCTGTTGACTTTGAAATTCAGAAGGCAAAATATAATTACCATTGCTTAGTTCAGTCTGAAGCAATCTGATACCAAATCTACATGCATTGTATTCTAGTGAGACAAGTTTCTCTTACATGCCAAATATCTCATACTATCATTAATTATTTAAGTGCAGCTCTTGTTCCCTACCTAGTCATTGAAAAAGCTTGTAGATTAGTAGTGCTTCAAGGTCTTTAAAATCACTTTCAACCGACCCCACTAATGCCACTCTACCTTCTAAAAGAGATGCATTCAATTTTCACCTTTCTTGCCATACCATTCACCAACTAGACAATCTTCTCATATCTACACCCATTCATGGAAATGTTTATGAGTCTGACAAGTACGGATTGCCAGACACAAGATATATGTCTAATTACAACCAATGTATGTCCATCCCAAAATGTGAATACATGGCAACATGCAAGATTCCCATCAAAGCCTCTTAATTATACTTTGAGCATAACATCATAAATCATGATATATAAGAAAATAAGTGCAGCAAGTTAACAAAAAAAATGGATGTCAAGAAATTTCTGGGTTATGGTTTGTTAGTCTTCACATACATTGATGTCTCCGGGCATCGCTCCAAAATTAAGTGCCGGTCATCTCCTTCACCAACGGATTCATGGGAAAAGCTAGAAAAAAGCAGTATATTATTATCAACAGAAGTCAAGTACATGTGAGCTGCAACATTCTTCCACAAAAAGAAAAAAAAAGGGAAAGATATGACAAAAAACATTCAACAAATCAACAATTAGATGATGGAAAGAAGGAGAATACCCAAATATGTCTGCAAGACGATGCAAGAGAAGACGGTTGTATGAGTTCATGGGTTCCAACTCCAACACCCCACTGGAACTGCACCCAAATTTTACTTTTTTTTATTAGTACTCTCAGCACAGACAATGATCAGGAAACAGCCTCATAGGGTTTCAAACAAATCTTATCTCTATTGCATTATCATGAAATATATTACACTAGTCAGGGAAAAGACACAAGCAAGACAACAGTTCACTTATAGAACATGTATGATTATACCATGCCCGGTTGAACATATTTGGGAGATAAGATATGAATGCACTGCAAGGTTGATAACAGTTATTTACAATCATTGTAAATTGATCAATGAGATGTCCCTAAAATAAAACTCTTATAGTGCAGAGCTATATTCATTCACAAGTGATGCAACTGACCCAATCCCAGATGTCTGCGGGGGTATGGACCCCCAATTTTGGGTATCAGCCCCAAGTGGGTATCACAACTGAGGTCAGTTAGTCGCATCACTCATGACCATAGTAACACTCCTGCTTATAGTTTTAAGGATTGCACAACCTTCTGTCCAAACTAATCTCATAAGAAAGGACAATGCTACTAATATTTAGCAGTTGTCTTACATGCCTGGTATCACTCTGAAGGAAGTCCACCAAGGCCTCTTCCACTGAGAGAATAAGATGCTTACAAGAAAGATTGTCTTTAACAAGAGAAGCCAATTCCTCAACCTGCATTTTGGTTACAAGATAAGCTTATAAGTGATAGAAGTACCATTAGCTGAACCAAAGAAGGTTTCGTTACATATAAACTAGCGAAGGAAATTAAATTTACACGAACTGATAGTGGGATTTGAAGCTTCAGTCGTTACAATTATGGATGAACAAATAAATAAGGGAATATAACTTTGAAGCACTAAACTTCCAAAATTTCTAACTTTCAGTTCATATAGCAAAAAACTAAACAGAAATTTTGAAATCAGCACAACCCAGAACACCTAATTGGAGCATGACTGAAAAAACTACAAATTTTCTAAATTCAAAGTAAAAGCGAAAATCAACGGCCAACAAACACAATAAAGCTAACAAATTGAGAGAGTTTGAGAGAAGGAAACATACCATAGCGAACTGGGTCATACTCATTTTGTTGAAAAACTGAATGAAATCTCAAGAATTTCTCAGAGTCAGAGAGAGAGAGAGAGAGAGAGAGGGAGAGTCGGACGGATATCTCTCTTTCAGATTTGCTTCAACGGTGGTGCGTGTTTGGTCGTTTTTCTCCTGTCAATCTTTCGTCGTATCGTATTTGTGTCTGTCGGACGAGGACATTGGACAAAGGCATAGTCTTACCCATCTCAGGGTCGGCCAACATGACCAACCAACGGTAGCCTGCCACCTCGCTCTTGTCCTTTTTAGTAATTAGCACTGCCTCAATTGCGCCGCCCCATCTTTTATTATTATTTTTTTTTAAAAGCAATTAAAAATTAAGAAGGTTGAATATTGAAGCAAAACATTCAAAGATGTTTAGCTACCTCTTGTAGAATGTAGAGTTTCATTTCACACGTTAATTACAATGTTAACAGTTTACATTTTGGTATGATTCAGCTCTAATTTTCCATTTAATTATGGATAAATGACGGCAACTTTTTTTCTTTCCCACTTTACATATTTAATTAGTAACCATAATCACAAGGAAGAACTTTAAATATGTTTAGGTTTAGGTTTAGGTTAAAAGACAAGCATGGTAACAACCACAAGCGTATAGTGAACACTTGAAACGAGCAGCACCTTCTCATTCTCGGCATTGTTTGTCACAGTGTTCTGTTTGCCAGCATATTCCAGACTATATTTCACTTCTCCTCCAACAAACCTTCTTTTATGCAACGGCTATTTATTTATATATTTAACAAACAAAACACAACAATTAGTTAGTTGGATTATTATAAGTCTGTTTCAACGACTTTTAATTAAATAGCAGTCTCAATCGAGCCCTTAATGCATAATGCAAACTATGGCAAAGGAAACAAGTAGGATACAGAGAAATAAAATTAGGAATCATCCTGGGCATACTTTTTTCTTCACCTGTATAAAATTAGGAAGGAAAATTCATCCGAGCCATTTGATCTCAAAAACATCAAGCAATATTTCAACATCAAGCAATGCTCTGTGAAAGCTGTCAAGACGTGTCATAAATTGGGTTAAAGGGAAATTTGATTATTTAAAATGATCAGGAGGCTCAATGAAGCTCAACATCCCTCCATTCCATGTACCGAATGGTTACTAACTCTATTATTTCTGAAAGCAAAAAAATCGATCACAAATGAACCTCTTAACAATTCCAAAAGCAATAGGAAGGAAAATGTGAGAGCACGAAGTTGCTCCATTTCCACAAATGGAGAGAGTTCTATAAATTATATCGCAAAGAATAATAAAGCCTTTTGCAAATTTTTATATCAACTATTTATCCCCAATTGGAGATTCGTTAGTGGTACCGAAATAATACAATATACAGTTTTGTTTGTAATCATAGTGCACAACCGCGAAGAAAAGATGAATTACATAAAAACATTTTCTAATTATCACCATCCAAGTCGAAGACCACATTTTTACCATAATCCGCAAAGCTCAGGAGCACATTGCCTTCTCCAGTAGTTCCTGCAACTCCCCAGTTTTATATGCCTCTGTAAAGAAAATAGTTTCCTCAAGGATTTCATATATATTGAAATATTTGCCAACTCTGATCAATAACTGAACATATTCAGACCCGAAAAATGTAGTGCGGAGAGGACATGGTACTTAATAAACAGAAAAAAGAGCTTGATAGAGCAAGTAAAGGCAAATTGGGAAGAGAACACAGGACTTACAAAAAAGAGCCATACAAAGAAAAATATTTCCCACACCATAATAACTAAAGCCTTATGCTACATCTCCATCACCATACTGTCATAGACCATAGACCACATCATGTTCTTATAAGACTAGTGTATTCACACGGCACGGTCACATGCAATGTCACCAATTTTTCATACTACACTACCATTCTCCATTAATAATCTTCAATAAAACATAAAGATCAGATCTAAACGTCATTTTTACTCTGTGTTTATCCTCTATTTCATTGTACTTAAATTGGTCGACTCCATGACAGAAGATGAAGATGTAGATGTGAACTAAGTTCTCAGTTAAAATGCTTGAATGCATAGCTTTGGCAGACTTTGTTAGCAGCTAACCTTTTATGGGAATGAGATGATGTGAAACAATGAATATAATACAACAACTAAAATTAACTTACCAACAGTGATGTCACAGCCACCGAAAAATTCTCCTTCAACATAAAGTTGAGGAAATGTTGGCCAACTGGAATACTCCTTCAATCCCTGGCGCAATAGTTCATTTTCTAGTATGTTTATTGTTTCAAAGGGTACATTCAAGGACTTCAATATTTGTACGACAGTGTTTGAAAATCCACATTGTGGAAAATCCCTTGTTCCCTTCATAAAAAGAACCACTTTGTGTGAAGTGACAACTTTGTCCAGCGTATTCTTCAGCTCTGGAGTTAATGCTGCAGACGCACACACACAGGGCCAGGGGGGAAGGAGGTATAGGCGAGAGAGAGAGAGAGTTAGTACCTTGTGAAACTTAATAAAGGTGGAGACTTTAAAAGCAATTTCACTACTATAATACAATCCCGTAAGTTTAAAATAAGGGGAGCCTAAAGGTGCTCTCCTCTACCAGGTGAGCACCAATTTCTGATGAAGACCTCATTTGGTACACACTCTAGAGTAGAGACAATAGTGAACCCATATAGGAGGCAACAAACAAATCACTTGACATAAGTATGCCTTATCTAGATAATAGTGAACAATGGATTGGAAATTATTCGGCAACCTAACGTTTACAGTTAACATAAGTATTTACGAAACCATAGCACCAACCAAGATCCTCATGATAATTGGGAATAATTCTTAAGTGGCTAATGCACCATCCAACATCTTCTTGTTATTTCAAAAATGCCTCCAAGTTGGTTAGATGCGCCATTATCTGTTTTAAGTTTTTGCTTCCACATTTGAATTTTCGTTTCCAGTAATCATCTTACTCCCCTCCTATCAATAAATCAAATACTGCAAGAATATTGCTAGAAATGTTGCATCTTTTCATGTGAATACTGCTTTATAACAGCAGCAACACAATGGTTGACTTAAACCAGAATTGCATTCTAGTAATCATCGTCCAACGAGGGAGCTTTCTAATTTTCGTTATATCCATTCAACCTCATCAAATTTATCCAAAATAAACATAACCCACATACGAAAACCTAGAAAATCTGCCCAGATTCGTTCGACAACAATTATCAGCGCATACCCATCAAACTGTAACACTTCTCCTCCGACATTGCAACCAACAAGATCATATCAAACTGCAGAATAAGAGCAATAAACAACAGAATAATATTGGGAGAAGGGTGAGTGATGTACCAGCAGAACAACGAAAAGAGACAGTCCTCTTATAAGAGAGCTGAGGCCCAAAAGACGAGTGATTTGAAAGAGAGAAGCTGGGAAGAGGACGGAGAGGCCCAGAGAAATAGTGAAGGTGGAGTGAAGTGGGTGTATTTATGGGTGCTTTGTTCACAGCGAAAGAGGCAGACGGTGGTGTTATGGTTATTGAGTTGAAGGCCCCAACAGACCACATCTTTGGAGAATTGCTTTCTTCAACACTCACACTTCTCTCTCTGCTCTGTGTCTCGCTTTGCTCTCTAATTTTTTCCAAGAAGAGGCGGTCACAAATATATAAGAAGGTTGTACTCCAATCACTGAGGACGAATTCGAGCTCGGTGATGAAGACGTGTAACCGGTGCTCCGATGACTTTTATGGCTGCGATTAATTAATTTTTAGGATAAGAAATATTAAATAGAAAAGGCTAAATTGTTGCTAGTTAGTAAAATACGGGAAAAATACGAATAAAATATTTTCTTGGGTAAAATTTGTGAAAAATACAAATGAAAAATTCGACAATTATATATTATTTTATTTAATAATATATGAAAAATACAGAATTTTGTCTATATTATTGAAATTTTGTAAAACAAACATTTATTAAATGTGAAGAATATATATGAAATTTTGATTTTCAAAAATGTGTTTTTTACCACCACCAAAATACGAAAATTCATTGATGAACCCTAAAATGCGAAAATTCAAAACCTCAAAATTCATTACATGGTTGTGTGATTTGTTGGGCAGTATCCAATTTTCCACATGTCTTTTATTCTAGAAAAAGTATGACAAGGTCCATAGTATATATCGATCTATAATTTTTTAATTCTTGGGTGGCTGACATTAGTGAATCCTAATAATTTTGTTTTCCTCTCAGATTCAATCGAAGAACAAGCGGCATTTCAGATCAACAACCCTCTCCATGGTTTTCTATTGAGATCAATCGGAGAAAAAATTGTTATTGAAAAACTTTGTGAACACAGGAACATACAACTTTGGACGTATGAAGGCGATTTTCTTTCTGGAAAGTTAGCCAATTCGCTTCTCATTTTGAAGGAAAATTCTTGATTCCCAGCAAGAAAGCAACTGGTAAAACAATTGATATACATCAAAATTGAATTACAACAAGTGATGAAGACGACTATTCTTGTGCAAGCTTGGTTTGATTTGTTGAAATGCCAATCCCCAGCAAAGAAAGATCTTGTCGAAGCAAATCTGCATTTTTGAAATGTAGACCAATGATACCAATTTCCTTTGCAGCTTCTACATTTCTCATACTGTGATGCAACCATGAACCAAGATAATAATTAATGAAAACCGTGTCATAAATGGCAAACCTATATTCAGATTACACAAGGAAGCAAACCTGTTGTCGATGAAGATACAGCTTGCTGGATCAACATTTAGATGTCTTTCAACTTCCAAAAAGAATTCAGGATCAGGCTTCCTCTTCCCTGAAAGAAAAAAAAAAGTGCACAGGCAGAGCATTGAGACATTCATGTGGATGTGCTTGTGCAGCTACAGATGGAAGAGAATCCTAAAAGTAAAATGCAAACACTTAACGTACCACTTATACATGAACAGAACGTCCAAGATAAGTATTTTGAGATGTTTAATTTGTCCTCAATCATCTCGTACCTAGAAAACAAAATTTCCTGAATAAAATGATAAACTGCTTCACTTAATAAGAAAACTTGATATAGAAATTTTCATCTAACCAGATGGGATAGTTTGTGAAGGCATGCATCTCATAGTTGTTATCTTTCAATGAATGAAGCAATTCTTCTATGCCTCCAACATAGGAATATCCCTTTCTCATGCAATCTTTTAGGCCTGCAAAGATAGATGAAGTACTTTCCTGTAAGATTCGGAAGGAAGAGCATATTATACGAGAACACATTTTACCACTCTGATATCATGTCAAAGTACAGACTTAAGTGCTTCAATCTACCCAGTTCAATAAGACTAACAATACAATATTTCGGAAGTCAATGAAAAGTAATTTTGACGAGGGCTTCAAAGATAATAAAAGAAACAAAAGAAATTAACAATTCCACAATGCAGTGCCAAATATTAGAGGATTGATTAGTATATGTCATAATTTTGGAATCAATATAAGGTATCTACATTATTTTGCACAGAAGTTACACAGACAAACAAATTCCGCACTGCATGTACCATTGTTCTTTTCACTGTCAGTATCAACCTTCATAAAGCAAGAAAAAGAATCATTTACACAAACGATAACAGCAGAAAAATGAAGCAACATTAAGAAAAGTCATTTTCTAGTGACATGAAGTACATTCTTACTGGCTCAGACTTGTAAGGACTAAGTTAAAGTCTTATGAAAGAGGTAGTATTTGAAATACATGACAGCAGAGATGACTGGTAAAATGTACCCCAAAAGCTTACATCTTCATTTTTTTTTTAAAGTAAGAAATTCCAACTAACCTTCCAAATCTAGAGGCCTTCCATCAGTAAAGAACTTTCTCGCTAGCTCCATCTGGTGGCAAAATCATTTGTCATACAGCAATTTGACATGCTATAGCATGGAATAAAAATTCATATTTTGAATGTATAATTTTGTTTGCTTCCGTTAATTAGAACAAAATTATGCATTTTCACTTGAGAGTTCAAAAAGCAAAATCTTTCACTTGCAGATGGGGATGGGACCCGTCACCCATAGGTAAGACTTAATAGTCTTAGTAAACATAATTCCAAGTATACCTCATCAATAATCCCCTTTTCAAACTCAATCCACGCAGTTGGGTGCTTGCATTCTATTAGTTCTTCGAAAGACATTCTGGACATGAAATATCATTGTGATTAGCTGGGACTTACAAATAAAACAGAAAAAGAATTCTAGCAAATTGAATAATTTTTATTTTTCCAATTTCCTTAAAACAGATTCAATTTTCTGATATTTCCAATAAAATTGTTATGCAGCAGCTAGCCAATGAATGAACCATATGCCATATTGAAAGTCCAAAACCAGTGAGAGTTTATCAATTTCTCTTCTTTTATTGTCTTATATCTAATCAACAAGAAGCAAAGGCAACCCAATTGAAGGAAATGACAAAAGAAAAGAATTTGAGTTTGGGTACCTGAAGAAGGCAGGGACGTCATGGTAAAAAGGGTCGCGAACAACGGTGTCCATGATGTCGAAGAGGAGTATGGGAAGCTTTTGAGTGGTCGTATTGGTATGAAAAGAGACATTGTGGGGAGATAGAGCCGTTCTTGTTGTTGTTGGTGTTGCTGTGGAACGAAATTGAAGTGAGCAGCCGTGCCTTAGACTTACGGGGAAAGGGATCGCGGGTAGTTTCAAGAGCAGAGCCATGAACAATCTGTCTCTCCCTCACCATCTCTCAATCTTTGACTTGTTTGTTTGAGAATCCATTTTTATTTTTTGTTTAATGTTTTACAATATAAAAAAAGCCATCCTCCTCCGTCGATTATTGTTACGATGAGTCACACTTATTTATGTATGCGATGAGATGCACGTTTTCTTTTCTTTTATTTGTTTTGGGAAATTGGGTAAAATACTATCCACGCACGGCCAATACTATCCACCCAAAAATTATTGGTAAAATATTATCATTAATAAAAATTAGAACTAATGGGTTTGTATTGTTGTAGGCCTTTTTGAAAATAAAAATAACAATAAGTTGCCATTAGAAGCCCAATTACTGAAAACATGTTTAATCATTTTGGGCCGACTTCAGTATAAAAACATGTTTAATCAGCCCGGATTGTCTGAAGCCCAACCTTAATTAGAGCACCCAAGACCAGATAAAACTTGGACTGGCCCAAAAACACGAATCTATCAAATTCTATTCGGGTCGGGTTTGATTCATAAATCAGTTGTCGTAAAAATGTTATTAGTCTAAGGATTTTTAGATTTAATAGTCCTTGAATTTTGAGCCGATTTGCATTTTGATCTCTCAATTTTCAAAAACGTTTTCGTGGTCCTTCAACTTTAGTTTCGTTAGAACAAATGGTCTTGTCGTCAATTTTGTTAACTTTTTTTGTTAATTTTGAGTATGTGCATGACACACGATATTTTATTGAGGGTCAAAATCAGAAATTGCTTCACTCTTGAGGTACATGGGCAATTCTTGGCGCACCCAAACCCCACACCCACTCCCCCACAACTGCAACTTAACTCTCCCCATCCATATATCTCCCTCCCTCCCCAAGCCAAGCCCATTATAACCCACCACCAATCAACTAATGATATGTCTCCCTTTCTCCAATCCAATAAAGCCATGAACAACCTCCATTCGACACCGAGCCAATTAACCTGCCACCCCCGCAACAACTTATGGTGCTCCCACAACCCACACTCCCACCCAAACAATACCCACCCTCCCTGCAATAACAAGGATTGGAAGAAGGTTTTTAAGTTTTAAAAATAATATTTAGATGGTGGAAATTTATATATATATATCATGTTGCCCATGCATTTAACATAAAATATAACAAAATTGACGACATGATAATTTGTCCTAACGAAAGTGAAGTTGAAGACCACAAAAACGAGTTTGGAAATTAAAGGACCAAAATACAAATTAAGTCAAAAATGGGACTATAAAAACCCTTACTCTATTTTTGAAGAAAAACCATTCTAATGTATAAATACGAGATAATGTAGAGACTAGAGATACCAACTTTGGCCAGAGTGGTTGTTTGACGCTCACTCTTGCAGCTGATGTAAACCTTTGTATTCGTCTTGAACGAATTCCTTCATGGCAGAACCAGCCCCGGATTTTCGGTCTCCATATTTAGTCTCTGTGACTCTCACCCTCCTCTTGCTTGTAGCCCTCTTGTTCTCTCCTTTAAACCAAAAACACCATCTCTCTCTCAATTTCTCTTCTTCTCCCACCTCCCCATCATCATCTTTTAACCACCAACAACAAATTACCACAGACAAGCACACAGGCTTGCATGTTGCACCTGCACCTTCCCCATCCCAAGCACTGCTGGAGTTTCAGCGCCATCAGTCTCCTCCCTCAACTTCCTCTGCGCCTAAACTCACTCATACCACTATCGAAGTACGCAACCTTTAACAACAGTAGTTAATTCATTTAAGTTTCATTTTTCCTCTGTTTGTTTGTTTTTGTTTTGTTTTGTTTTCCAAAAAGAAAGAAAAAGAAGTCATTTTGGAAATAATGCCAAAACTTACTTTAAATACATATATATATATATATATATATATATGTGTATGTCCAGAAGAACCAGAGCAAAACAGAGAGGATTGAACAAGAGTTGGGCGTAGCAAGAGCGATTATCCGCAAAGCTATTGTTACGAAGAATTGCACGTCTAACAGCAACGAGATTTACATCCCCACAGGAAGTGCCTACAGAAATCCCAATGCCTTTCATCAGTTAAGTCTTCTTCTTTTTTCTGTTCTAAATTAAGTTTAGCCGGTGGTGTTTGAATCCTATCCTTTGTTTGCTTGCCACATGCAAAACCAGTGGATTAACTCAGTCGGTTTTGGAAATGTTATTATAATATATTTTAAAACGGTATCTTGCCATTTTCTGTGCTGGTGGGTGCATGCTTTCTTTTCTTGGTTGTCCCTCGCAAACAAGTCCACTTCCAAGTTTCTCTTTCCAGAGCGGTCCACATTTGTTGTAACAACTGGCGTTATGCTTATATTGTATTTATACGACCTTGTCTTGTCTTGTGGACGCTGCTGTTGCTCTTTTGGGTTAAGACTCAAGGGGAGTTTAACTTGTTATGCTGTTTTGCGTTAATAATAGGAGTCACGTAGAGATGGTGAAAAGGTTCAAGATATGGGCCTACAGGGAAGGAGAGGTACCCATGGTCCACAATGGGCCCACCACATACATCTACTCCATCGAAGGCCAGTTTATTTTCGAGATGGAAAGTGGGCCAAGCCCATTCATGGCCCAACATCCTGATGAGGCCCATGCATTCTTCCTACCACTCAGCGTGTCCAAGATTACTGACTTTCTATACAGACCTCACCACGAAACATTTTTCCATCGACTCCACCGTATCTTCACCGACTACATTTATGTCATCTCTGATAAATACCCTTACTGGAATAGGAGCGCTGGAGCCGACCATTTTTTTGTCTCATGCCATGATTGGGTAAAGCTTATATTTTTCCAAAAATGTTCTTTTATTTTCTGACAATCGTCATGTAATCCTCCCTCGGGTATAAAGGGGAGCAATAATGTTATTATTAATTTATTTGATTGATTGATTGATTTTTTCAGGCGCCAATTATCTCACGTGATGATCCCAGGCCCTACAAGAATCTGATGAAGGTGGTATGCAATGCAAACACCTCTGAAGGATTCAAGCCTACCAGAGACGTCTCACTGCCAGAATATAACCTCAAAGCCTACGAACTTGGACCGCCCCGTTTTGGTCAACGCCCTTCTCAGCGTCCAATCCTTGCCTTCTTTGCTGGTGCAGCCCATGGAGACATCAGGAGCATTTTGTTTGAGCATTGGAAGGAAAAAGATGATGAAGTTCGAGTTTATGAAAAACTTCCTGAGAATATGAACTACCACAAACTAATGGGGCAAACTAAGTTCTGCTTGTGCCCAAGTGGTTCTGAAGTGGCAAGTCCTAGGGTTGTGGAGGCAATGTATGCAGGGTGTGTCCCGGTCCTCATTTCCGATTACTATGCCGTACCCTTTGATGATGTTCTTGATTGGACTAAGTTTTCGATACAAATTCCACCCAAGAGAATACCAGATATCAAGTCAATACTGAAGGCTGTTCCATATTCGAAGTACTTGAAATTGCAGAAGAGGGTGATGCAAGTGAGAAGGCATTTTGAGCTCAACCGACCCGCTAAGCCCTATGATGTATTTCACATGGTGCTTCACTCAGTGTGGCTTAGAAGGCTTAACATTCGGTTGCCAGATCGATTTTAAGGATCATCAGGAATCTTGTAGAGGTTTTAATAATCATTGTTTTAGCATGAGATTAAACTCACAGTGATGCGTCAAGCAAACACTAGTCATTCAGATAATGATATTTAATTATAAGGGATGAAAAATAAAAAAGCATGATATTACAGTAAGTGATTCTCCTTCCTAGTGTTACTTTGCATGATATAAGTCTTGTTGATGTTGATCCTTGTCCCTTTTTCTTAACCAAAAAGAAGGAAAAAGAAAAAGAAACTGAAATAAATATATAATTGGCTTTTAGTCAATCGAATAAAAAACAGAGAAGCCAAGATAGGCGGCCGGCCCTTTTGTTTTAATCCAACATGTTTACCCTTTCAAGTGTTGGATATGCCATTTACATATTTACTTTAATCCAGTCCAGGCCTAAATCTGTGTGTGCTCTGTAATCATCCAGTCCAGGCCTAAATTTTGAAGGCATATCATGAAACTTCCCTTTCCAGCATGGAAGATTTGGAAGAATAAATTTCAAATTCCCAATTTGTTTGTGGTGGCTTTTTGAGCATAATGCAGTGCAGCATATGTTACAAAAATTTTGGTAATATGGTAATTAGGAAAACGAGAAAGGGGTGTGTGATGTGACGTGGCAGCATAAGAATGGGTGATTAGGATGTTTATGGAAGTAAAGCAAGGAGAGAGGTAGAGGTTAGCTGCCTGTATTTAAGATTAACATTTGGCCATCATGCGGTGAATCATATCCTACATTAAATTTAAAGCGGTTGTGCCTTTGTTCCTTTAATAAAAATAAAAACAACTTGTTGGTTCTGCAATCTGTCTGCATTTTATTAAAAGGGCTTTATGGCAGCCTTTGAATTCCGGTCACCCTATTTACTCTCTGTAATTTTTCTCCTCCTCATCCTCCTCCTTCTGGTTCTTCTTCCATTCTCTCACTTGAACCAAAACCATTTCAATCTTACAACCCTTTCTTCTTCTTCTTCTTCTTCTTCTTCTTCTTCTAGCCCTCGTCAAAGCAACCAAACAAGCCAATATCAATATGTCTCACCTGCACCGTCTCCTTCTACTTCCATTGTTGCAGACCATGTCAAAGTAAGCAGCTTTACATGTTGTTTGTATGTTCTTCACAATTATAACATTATTTGGCTTTTGGGGCGCTTGTTTTCTTTTCTTGTCTTGCTTTTTTTCCTTTCTTAGGTTGTCCGTTTGTTTTTTTGTGCCATAACGTTTTCAGAAAAAGAAGAGCAGTGGAATCACGATTGAAGAAGAGTTGGCGAGAGCGAGAGCAGCCATCCGCGAAGCCATTCGTACGAGCAAGTATACATCTGATAGACAAGAGATTTACATCCCCAGAGGAAGTGTGTACAGAAATCCCTATGCATTTCATCAGTTGAGTTTTCTTTTTTCTTCTCTTCTGTAGTTGGTTTTTCTTTTTAAAACACATACATATATGGTAAAGTCTAGGGTTTTCATTTCTGGGTTGGAATGAATCATGAAGATTTTTTTACCTTCTTATTGCCTAAAAAGTTTGGGGGGGTTTTAATGTTTTTGGACTAATAATCATGCTCATTTGTTTTTACCAAATTGTTATGCCGATCCTTTTCTTAAGAACAAAGCAATCCCTTTCAATTTCCAACTTGAGGCCCCTTCCAACTTTATTTTACTAGATTCCTCTTTATTTTTTGTAATTATTGGGGACGGTCCCAAATTCTTGTCTTATTTCTTGTTTTTTTTTTTCCGGCTGTTTATAAATTATATGGGTTATGTGGGTGAGCAGGAGCCACATAGAGATGGTGAAAAGATTCAAGATATGGGCTTACAAGGAAGGAGAGATACCCATCTTCCATAACGGGCCCATGTCCTACATCTACTCCATTGAAGGTCATTTCATCGATGAGCTGGACACCAGTGGAAATTCCCCATTTTTGGCCCGCCATCATCACGAGGCACATTCCTTCTTTGTCCCTGTAAGCGTCAAAAGGGTTGCTGATTTCTTGTACGATCGCCCTAAACCATACACATTTCACGGTCGACTAGTTCGTATTGTCACCGACTACATTAATGTTGTGGCCCACAAGTACCCCTACTGGAATAGGAGCAATGGAGCTGACCACTTTATGCTCTCTTGTCATGATTGGGTATCTATCAACTTCCACAACTCTCCTTGGAATTTCATTTCCGAACACCTTGGTTCCTTACAAGTAAAAACGGCAATGCGTCATTACATTACATTACATTACCAAGGAGACAAGTATTTTCCTTTATTTCCCCAATATAATAAACCTATGTTTCTTTAATTTTGGCAGGCACCAGAAATCATATATGATGACCATGAGTTCTACAAGAGCTTCATAAGAGTACTCTGCAATTCTAACACTTCAGAAGGATTCCAGCCCGGGAGAGACGTCTCACTACCAGAATATAACATACCAGAGAACACTCTTGGCCCGTCGCTCCTCCACCAACACCCTGATAACCGGCCTATCCTGGCCTTCTTCGCCGGTGGTGCTCATGGAAACATAAGGAAGTTTTTGTTTGAACATTGGAAGGACAAAGATGATGAAATCCAAGTCCATGAGTATCTCCCAAAGGGGCAAAATTACCACCAAATAATGGGACAGACCAAATTTTGCTTGTGCCCAAGTGGGACTGAAGTTGCTAGTCCTAGAGTGGTTGAGGCCATGTATGCAGGGTGTGTCCCTGTGCTCATTTCTGACTATTATTCATTGCCCTTCGCTGATGTTCTCGACTGGAGCAAGTTTACAATAGAAATTCCACCAAAGAGAATACCCGAGATCAAGGCAATATTGAAAGCTGTTCCGCACTCAGAATACTTGAAATTGCAAAAGAGGGTGATGCAGGTGAGAAGGCATTTCATGCTCAACCGACCAGCTAAGCCATTTGATGTATTTCATATGGTGCTTCACTCCATATGGCTAAGGAGGCTTAACATCAGGCTACCCAATTAATTTTATTTAACAACCTTAAGCATTCTTTTAATATTTTACTCTTGGAATTTTACACCATTTGCATAATCTTCTATAATTTTGATCATTTTGGCCCCTCCCTCCTATATCATCATCATCTATAAATGAGTAAAACAAGTGACGGATTATCACTAAATCTGTTTGCTTCAGAACTTAACAAGAAGCTGAAAGAAATACAGGGTACTCTGCTCTAACAACGATACGTGAGATTGTAAAACAACAACGTGTTTAACAGTGTTTAGTAAATTAGCAAAATTAAACACAAGTGGAATGTTTCAATTGACACATTATTCATTATTGCAACAAAGTTCTACACAAGGTCAAAACGTTACAAACCCACAAGTCTCAAACCCGTTTTTACATCCTAGCCAGCACAAGTTGCATAGGAAACATAAATTGCTGAACAATACAATGCAAGAAGTACTTCAGAGAAAGTAAAAAAATTAAGAAATAATTCAATTGTGAATCTCATTACCCTCAGTCGACCGCCCTGGTGCAGGGATAATTGGGGCTGGTTGTTTGGTCACAGCAGCCATAATATCCGCATAACCCACCACTCCAACTAAGATATCATCACTTTCATCCTCAGTCACCCACACATGGGTTGCCCTGTGAGACAACATCTGAGCCATGACTGCTGCCAATGAACTTGTAACCTTACAGGTCAATGGTGCGCTTCTGCCTCTATACATGCTTCTACTCACTCCCAAGCTTGCGCTCGCAGGACTGAACCCTATACTCCTGCTACTGAACTTTTTCAACTTTGTTGACCCACCACCATTAGCCACATTATTATTTCCAGCAGTTTGATTTATAGAGATATCTGGCAGTGATCTTGAGGACGCATTATCCTCAACTCCCATGACAAACTGTCCAGCTGAGAGATTAGCTAAAGCCCATGCTGCAGCTAAGTAATCACATTTCCATAGTTTGGAGGCAGATATCTCTCCAATAATCTTGTACTGATCTTCCAGTGTGTGTTCGACAACAGCAACTGCACTAGGGTCTTCAGGAAGCTTATGAGTGGCTTCAATGGCTGCAGACGAGGCTTCAACAAACTGGTAGTTTGTGTTAATGGCTCCAAGAGAGGAGATAGAGGAGAGAGGAATAGGAGCTAGGGCACCTAGGCAGCCAATCAGGAAACGAATAACATCTTCTCTTGAGAGACAGCAAAACTTGTCGCGGGTACTGGTAGCGGAAGATGAGGAAGGCCGATTGGCAGCAAGGCTATTGCTGCTGCCACTAGTATCCATGTTCTTGAGCCACTTACCGCTATAGATAACTGAGAAACGTTTGCTCATGCCTTTCCATACAACACTCTTTCGAACAAGAAGACGCTTTACACCATGCTTCATCATCTCCAGTGCATCTATCAACCTTGCAGAAAGAGAAATTTGAAAGAAAGAAAAAACACATTACTTTTAAGAAACCAATTCCAAACAAAATAAAAATAACGGTTTCAAGCCAATTCCAAACAAAATAAAAAACTATTTCAAGAATGGAATGGTTGCAGCAGTAGTATGAACGTACGAATGGAAGGGGTAAAAAAGACAGTTTTAAGTGAAAGCTAATCAGAATCTAATCACAAAACACCATGATCAATAATCGTAGAAACAACACTACTAAAAAGTAGGGTACCAAACTTGATCTAAGATTAATGGAAATTCATAGCATGACCATATAAAGTAATAAGATTGAAAAGCACCAAACCTTGTCGCAGGATCAACCTGCCTCAGCAAAGAATTATTAGGAACAACAACATCAGACACCGGAGTCTTCAAAGCCTTATCATGATCCTCCAGACACTCACTTTTAGCAAAGAAAGCAACAATGTCGAGGGAATTGAGGATGCCCACAAACCTCTGCTGCCTCATTTCATCGTTTTCAACCATACCCACATGTGATTTCTTCTTCCATACCGGTATACCACATTCCATCGACTCTCCGATCGCTTTTATCGCCGCCTCCATCGTCTCCGTCTCACACAGTTCCACCATCTCTGGCTTCCCCACCGTTAGATCACCCACAACATGGAAAAGAAACACCGATGCCATTCCCAATTTTCTGTTCAGAATCAGATGACAATAAAGTTAAGCAAAACCAAGGAAAATCATAGTGATTTCTCCATTTTTTTCATTCCCTGTTGTTTAATTAGTATGAGATTTTGATTAAAAATGAAAACCTTTTTTTTTTATGAAATTTAAAAAAAAAATTGAAAACTTTACCTTAAGAGACAAACTCAAAAATTGAGTTCTCTCGTTTTCCCGGGAATTCAAGCTTCTTTAAACGTAGTTCAATTTTCTGTTACTCTGCCCACCTTTTCGCCCCAACCAGCCAACAAATGATACACAAAAAGGGCACTTTTTTTTGGGTTGTTTTTATTTTTTAATTTTAAAGAAAAAATGAATAAATCGAAGTAAACCCAGATCAAATATAAAATAGATCGGCTCAAAAGATTCTTGAGAAAGCCCCAGACAGGAAAATTTCTTGGGAAATAACCAGGAGAATAAGAGGGCGAGGAGGTACCGGGAAAACCGGCGAAGGGGTGAGAGTTATAAGAGAGAGTGGAGGAAGATTAGGAGGAGGTGAAAACCAGTAATGGGTAATCTGTGAAGGGTCAAGAAAGTGAAGGAAGGGAGAGGCTTGGCCATTGATGAAGAAGCACAAGAGGAAGGTAAAGGCCCATCAAATGTGTCTCAGCCTCGGTCTCTCTTCTGACTCTCTGAGCTGTGTGAATGTGTGTGTCTCCAAGTGCTTGAATTTTGCTAATTATTGAAGAGATGTGGATGGGAATGACTAAATCAGAGCGAAAATCTGAACTTCGGTGAATAATATATATATATATATATATATATATATATGCAAATGAGTTTATTTTCTTAGCTATAAACTTCCCATTTAGCCAAAAAATTTGATCTTTTTATTCTTCTTATAAATCATTAGCCTTTCTGACAAGCTTATTTGTATACACTTTCGCACTTGCGAGATATTTTTAAAAAAAAAATTAAAATTTATTTTAGAATTTAAAAAGTTAATGAATAATTGTGTTCCATAAAAATAGGATCTATTATCTTAGTTTTCTTTTAATATAAAAAAATATAAATTTATCATATTATTCTCATTTAAGTAATAATTTTAATTATTAATATTTGTTTTACACACCAACCTTGTGTTCGATGTTGTTCGACAATGGTCAAACCGACGTCATATTTTTTGTTTCTTCCCTCTTTTAGCTCCCAGTGAATTTGGTAGCCCAGCCCAATCCATCCAACTTTACGGGTCGGTCGGTCATTCATTCCAGTACTAGCCCACGCGCCTGAGCTTACTCACACACACAAACACTCATCACACTTCAAAAGAAAATGGAATAAATATAAAATAAATAAAAGGCCAAGGGAAAAAGAAGCTTTAATTGCTTTTCCAAATTCCATATTCTTTTGCTTCTTCTGCTACAGTACAGTGTGCATCATTTTCATCTGTAAGTCCCATTCTCTCTAACTCTGTCTCTGCACCTTTCAGCTATCACTTACTTCAACACAATATCACATCACGTTCTTGTTTTTCTAAGTGTCACTAGCAGATTTTGTTTCTTATCCATCTTCTTCAAGATGGTTTTCGGATTTTACCCCTGTGGTAAGTCTAATTTATAGTTTCTGCCACTGAGCTTTCTCTTCAGGTTGTCCAATATTTTAGCTTCTAACCCATCTGGGTAAAGATGGGCTTTAGCTTTTCATCGCTGTGATTGCCTTACTTTTTCAGCTACTGCCGCCAAGCTTAGCTGTTGTTGTTCTTCAACCTTCTTTCACTTGTCTAAACCCTCTATTTGTTAGTCATGGAACACAAATGGGTTTCAGGGTTTTGCCACTGTAATCCTCTCAACTTACGTGCACTGCTACTCATATTCTTTGTGCTTCTATGTTCAAACCTTTCTCAAAGTGTTGATCTTTACCCAGATGACAAAGCCTCAGTTTTGCTATTTAGGTCATGCCTCCAAGACCCTAGCCAGAGCTTGTCCAGCTGGGTTGGGTCTGACTGTACCAACTGGACTGGAATCACCTGCGAAAACCAGACTGGCAGAGTGGTTTCAGTTAACTTGACCAACATGAACTTGTCTGGCCAAATTCACCCCAACTTGTGCAAACTTCCATTTCTTGAACATTTGGTTTTGTCCGGAAACAACTTTACTTGCACAATTCCGTTATGTTTTGGCACTCTACGCAGTCTCAAAACTCTACATCTTGGTTACAATAGGTTTTACGGTACTGTGCCTGATACACTTATGCGGCTTTGGCAGTTGAAAGAACTTGTTTTGAATGGTAACAAGGATTTGGGAGGTCTTATTCCTTGGTGGGTAGGTAATTTCTCAGCACAGTTGGAAAAACTAGATATAGGTTTCAATTCATTTCATGGGGAAATTCCTGAAAGCTTGTTGTACTTGAAATCTTTGAAATATTTAGATCTCGGGAACAATAATTTATCTGGTACTCTAAGTGATTTTCACCAATCCTTGGTGTTTCTCAATCTTGGGTCGAATCAGTTTTCCGGTACTTTGCCTTGTTTCTCTGCTTGTGTTCAGTCTCTTAGAGTTTTGAATCTGGCTAACAATTCTGTTATGGGAGGAATGCCTACATGTATGGCTTCACTTCAAGCTTTGAAGCATCTAAACCTTTCATTCAATCACTTGTCTTATGAATTATCTCCAAGACTTGTGTTTTCAGAGAAGCTTCTTGTGCTGGACTTGAGTAACAATGATTTGTCTGGTCACCTTCCGAGCAAGATTGCAGAGACAACTGAGAAGTCTGGGCTTGTTCTTCTTGATTTATCTCACAATCGTTTCTCCGGTGAAATCCCATTGAAGATTACAGAACTGAAAAGCTTGCAGGCCTTGTTTCTATCCAACAATCTTCTTGTTGGGGAAATTCCGGCGAGGATTGGAAATTTGACGTATCTCCAAGTGATTGATCTCTCACACAACTCGTTATCAGGTTCAATTCCATTGAACATCGTTGGTTGTTTTCAGCTGCTTGCATTGATACTCAATAACAACAATCTTTCGGGTGAAATTCAACCGGAACTTGATGCATTGGATAGCTTGAAGATACTGGACATTAGCAACAACAAGATATCTGGTGAGATCCCACTTACTTTGGCAGGCTGTAAATCTCTGGAGATTGTAGATTTCAGCTCCAACAATCTCTCTGGAACTTTGAGTGATGCAATCACCAAATGGTCGAACCTCAGGTATCTGTCCCTAGCTCAAAATGAATTTAGTGGAAATCTGCCCAGTTGGCTCTTTACTTTTCAAGTGATCAGAATGATGGATTTCTCAGGAAACAAATTTTCTGGCTTCATACCAGATGGTAACTTTAACATGAGTATAAATTTTAAGAATGGAGAGCTTGATAAAATGCAGAGAGAGCCGTTTGGTACAATGCACAATGCGGATACAAAAGTTTTTATTATTGTCACTGGTAGCACTGAATTAAGCTTCAGTTATGTACTATCTTCAGTGGTTGGAATTGATTTCTCTAACAATGTGCTACATGGGGAGATTCCAGTGGGACTATTTGGATTACGTGGTTTGCAATACCTGAATTTGTCACACAATTTTCTTCAGGGTCGTGTTCCAGATTTGGAGAAGATGTGGAGTTTAAGGGCCTTGGATATATCACACAATTCTTTGTCAGGTCATATTCCTGGAAACATTTCCAGCCTTCAAGGCCTGACTCTTTTGGATTTGTCATATAACTGTTTCTCTGGATTTGTTACAAAGAAACAAGGATATTGGAGGTTTCCAGGAGCATTTGCTGGAAATCCAGATTTGTGTTTGGAGTCCTCTGATGGAGGGTGTGACCCAGCAAGCCTCCCCGTGGTGCCAGGGAATGCACTTGAAGGGGAAGAGGACGAGGGGTGGATTTCTGTTTGGGTTTTTTGTCTGAGCGCTTTCCTCAGCTTCTACTTTGGGGGTTTGGCCCTCTTTTGCTCACCTCGAGCACGAAATTACATTCTCCAGACAAAAGCTTAGTGTAATGTACATGTTGATGTTGAGGAAAACGATAAGATGTACATTTTAAATACTCTTTTTCTAGATTGCTTTTTGTTGACCCCTACTAATGGATGAGTTTGTTCTTCCATGCTTTGCTAACATAGAAGCTAGCTGTTCGGAATGTGGTACTGAGAGTGCAACAATAACATGCCATAAGCTTTCATGACCTTGTTTTCAATGATATTGACAACAATAATCAGGCAATGGCATGCCGTTGGTTGGCCCTTGCCTGAGTCTTATTTCATGTACCAGCTTTTGGGCAATGCTAGTCTTCTTTCATTAGAAATAAGATCAATTATATTTCGACCCAAAAAAAAAAAAAATTATCAATTATATGTTATTAAGTTTTGAATACACTCTCCTTGACAAATGGGGATGAAAGCAGGTCCCCGATCTCATAAATTTGACACTAACCTAGAGAAAGATAACAGTAATTTATAATTAAGAAAAAAGAGCAAATTATCCTGCCAATCGTGACATCGCCATATGCCTAATTTAGATGCTGGCTCTCGTGAAGCAGTTGCACGGCCATGGTTTCTGTTAGCGACTGAGAAATTTGTTTTATTTGAGCTCCAATCCCCTGCAATGAAATATAATTATATAAGAAAGGAGGCAGAGCCTGAATTTGCAGGCACCATCTGACCCATTTTCCAGCATTCTCCACTGGTACGCAGCAGTCCTCAGGGACCTTGTGTTGTCTAGTATGCACACCAAGCACAAGCTCTAATATCTAATTGGGCCGTCCAAGTTCCCAGAAGCAAACTGAAAGCAACACTCACAAAAAAAAAAAGAGTAAGTACTGGGACTCCGGATCATCATAAAGCTTAAATCATATCCCAACTATCTGATTCTGACAGAAGAAACAAATTATGAACACCAATGCCTAAACTATCTAACTGCACATGTTGTCAAACTAATTCATTGCAAAACCAAATTTGTCATTACCTGTTGAACGATTGGATTTGTGGAGGTTGTGAATTCATGAGTCATTCCTTGCCACACTATCTTGCCCTCGTAGAGAAACAATAACCTATACACATTGAATATATGCTTTGCTTAAAACACATATGAAACAATCAACGCAAGTGTTCAATAATAACATGACAATTTGTATGAAGCCCAACCTGTCAACAGCTCGTCTAATGGTACTATGTTGGTGAGTAACAACAACATAAGATGCAATCTGCCCAGGCTTCTCAATCGCTGCCTGATCTTTTGTATGGACAGAGCGGATGAGGTCTTCTACCACAGTAGATGCAATAGGATCAAGTCCAGCGGTTGGCTCATCATATAAGAGCACCTGTGGAAGGTTGTAGAATACTGTCAGGACTCAGGAGACAGGCCCTACCAACTGCCTCTGTCAGAGTCAGACCATGAGAACACAGTACACAACTGCATCCTAAACTCGGAGGGATGATACTAATGACTATAAAGTAATGCAATGGGAACCACTTAAAGGCCAAAGTTTCAATTGAGTACTAAAACAGTTACGCAAACATTATCCAAGGAAACAAAAGTAGATAGAGAACAAAATAAATCTATCAGCTGCTCAATATACCTCTGGCTCTATGGCTTCCTTTGTAGTATCACAAATTATAGACCGAGCCAGAGCAACTCGTTTCTTCATTCCACCAGACAGCTCCGAAGGTAATCGATCCTCAACACCCTAAACAAATGACCAAGTACAACATAAATAAATTGGATAGTCAAACTCTGTTTTTTTTGGGG